AGAGAGAGAGAGAACAAAAAGGTAAAACAGCCAGGCCAGGCCAAGAAAAGGCTAGGTGGGGCTTCTGAGCTGGTACATAGTAGTCTCAGTTTGTCAAGTGTATCTCATTGGTGACTTCTCTGTGTGTGGGTTCAAAAACATCTGAGGCAGTAAAATACCATTGCCTCCCTGATGAAATGTCTCCAAATACAAGTTAAGAAAGGAACAAAGATGCAGGATACCAAAATCAAGTACAAGGACAGCAGGGGATATACCCTAGGGGGAAGAACATACAAAGGAAACAAACAAAATCACATAGTACATTTAAAACAACAACAAGGAAAACACTAGTCTAATTTGGGGAGGCAAAGGGGAACAACAAAACATTGAAACAAGGACACAGGATGACCCATTGCAATCATGATAACAACAAGATAGATTGGGTTTCAACTTCACAACTGTGTGTGTGTGTGTGTGTGTGTGTGTGTAAGGTGGGGGAGGGAAGGGATAGTGGGAGAACAATAAGGAATAACAATGCTCGATAATATATGTACTCATTCCCTTACTCACGTAACTAACCCCTCTATACAGCATCTTTACAATAAACAACAACAAACAATTCTATCTAAAAAACAAAAGAAGGGAACACAAAGAAAATACTAAAAATGCTAAAGGCAGTGCATCTGAGTTTTATCAGTTTTCATCAGTTTAAAATGCTTCAGAAGTGAGTTTTTTGTGTTGTTGGTGGTGGTTTTTGTTTTTGCTTAGTCATAGGGCTTGAACTCTAGGCCTGGGCGCTGGTCCCTCAGCTCTTCAACTCAAGGCTAGCACTCTACCAGTTGAGCCACAGCTCCACTTCTGGCTTTTTCTGCTTATGTGGTGCTGAGGAATTGAATCCAGGGCCTCATGCATGCAAGACAAGCACTCTACCACCAAGCCACCTTCCCAGCCCCAGAAGTGGGTTCTTATAGGTGTGGAAAAGGATTTGTTGCTTTCTATCTCAATGGGCATAGTGAACATCCTTCAGAGATGGGTCCTATAAGGGCTTACTATACAGACTTCTTACTGAAGATAAACCATCCCGTTTTAAAGAAATTAAAGCAGGGCACTAGCAGGAGAATTTGTTTCATAATTATAAACATGGCTTTTCATTTCAGATGAATGCCACAATACCAGAAATAACCTAAGAAAACATGGAAATGAGAGATGGAACAAAATAGATTATATAAAATAAATTAAATAAAAAAATTTAAAACACACAATTTTTATTTTTGTTGTGTTGGTATGGGAGCTTGAATTCAGGGCCATGTGCTCTCCCTTGGTGTTTTCTCTAAAGGCTGGTGCTTTATCACTTGGACACATCTCTGCTTCCAACTCTTTGCTGGATAATTGAAGATAGGCATCTTTTGATTGTAAATTGTAAAGTTCGTTTTTGGCTGGGGGGGTGAGGAAGGGATGCGAAGGGGAACAAAGGAGGAGGCAACAATGCTTGATAAGAAATGTACTCATTACCATGTCCATGTAATTGTAACCCCTCTGTACGGTATTTTCACAATTAGAAAAATAAAACAGGGGCTGGGAAGATGGCTCAGTGGTAGAACGCTTGCCTTGCATGCCTGAGGCCCTGGGTTCGATTCCTCAGTACCACATAAGCAAATTGAAAAAAGCCGGAAGTGGCGCTGTGGCTCAAGTGGCAGAGTGCTAGCCTTGAGCTGAAGAGCTGAGGGACAGTGCCCAGGCCCAGAGTTCAGGCCCCACAACCGGACAAAAATAAAAAATAAAAATAAAAAAATAAAGCAACCTGGAAAGGTTTCAGTTAAATAATAAATATAAAATATTTCATGCTGAAAATTTTTTTTTTTAAAAAGGCTCTTTTTGTTTGTCCAGACTGGTTTTGAATGTAGAGCCTGGGATCTCAGCCTCCTTGATTAGCTAGGCATTAGTCACTGGCCCTGGCTTTTTTGCTTTATTTTTAAAAGCTGGCTTTGTTGAACAGTGAATTCATGCTCACCAGTTGTGTTATCCCCCCACATCTGTCTTTCATCACTTTGAATGTCACCTCGTTGCCTCTCCTCTCACTATCTCTGATCAGGTTAGCTTTTACCAGGGTTCCTAAGGCAAGTTACTCCCCTCTTACTACTTTCACAAATCTCCTTTTGATTTCAAAGTTAGAAGTATCTGTGCATCTTTTTCTTTTTGTTTTCCTTTTTTAAAAAGATCTACTTAGCTATGGAGATTATTGTTTATAACAAACTTGCTATATTTCTGGACATTATTTCTTCCTAAATTGTCCTGTTAATTTTTTCAGCAAAACTTCTAAAAGCTGAGAATGGCTTCCAGCTTCCAGCAGGAAAGGAGACACACAAATCCTGCATCTCTGAGGAACAGAACTCTGCCAAGAACAGTGTCTCAGATGAGACTGGCACTGTATTCTGATGACCTGGAAAGCATGTGCCAGACTTCTGAGCTAGAGACACAGAGGTGGCAATGAGCTTTGAACTCAGGGTCTCGGGCTAACAAGCAGATACTCTATGACCACATTGCCACTCCCCCTCCCCCCCATTTATTTTATTTTTATTTTTTGCTCTGGTTATTTTTGGGACAGGGTCTCATGCTAGGAATGCATGTGTTTTAGGCTCTTATTGTAACAAGGATGACATTGACACCACTGTGTCGGGTATTGATTAAGGAAGGGGTCTTGCAAACTTTTTTGCCTAGGTTGGCTTCTGTCAACAATCCTCTCAATCTCAGCCTTCCATGTTACTAGAATAAACATGGCCACTGGCTTGTACCACATGTGTTGTTTTAGGCAGCCAGGTCTTGTGTTGTGATACAACAGAAAGCGAATATTGACGACAAAGAGAATGTTTATAACTATAATATTTATATTGATCGTTTCACAACTTCATTTGAAATGAGGTAATTTTCTTGTGGGTGTTTATCATTAATGTGTTCATTGATTATTATTTTACAAGATGCCTACTCTGTTAGTTTTTGTGTCACCATGGCAAAACATTTCAAATAAATAACTTAAAAGGGAGGAAGGAGTATTTTGGCTCATGGCTTCAGAGGCTTCAGCCCACGGTCAGCTGGCCCTGTGGCAGCACAGGGAGCATACAGCAGAAGAAACCTGTTCATCTATCTCACAGCAGCCTAGGACAAAGATGGAGAGGAAGGGGCTGGAACCCCCAAGTCTCCTCACAGGAGGTACCCCTAATAACCGAATTTCTTCCTACTAGGCCCTAATTCTTTAAGGTTCACCACTCAATGCAGCCACAGATTGGGGACCAAGCCCTCAATACATTGGCCTTTGGGAGATACTCCAGACCCACACTATATCACCTAAATATGTTCCTCCAGGTTTTGCTGAGCATGTAAGGAAGGCAAATCCAAATGTGCAACTTTTTCAAACTCTCTGCTTTGAACACACTGGTTTATTCACTATTCCCAGATACAGCTCATCTTCATCAATGTAGACTTTTCCCCCAAGCTACTCATTTATGCAAATTCCATCCACATGTCATGCCTGGGGAGGAATTTTATCCTCCAGAAAGATTTATGATCAATACAGCAAGCATTGAGCTGACAACAGATAGAAAAGAGGATTTGTCAGTCTGAAGGAAAACTGCTAAGGGTCACAGAGTCCCAACCACAAGACTGAGGTGAGAGGTAGCATGGAATTCTAGGTACTGGGTATGGAAGATGTTAGAGACAGTGAGGCCAGGCCTAGTCCTGAAGGTATCGGGGCACTAAGCTGATATTCAAGAGAATCTGTGGTAATCAGGTCAAGCTACATCAGCAATCTGTATGTGCTCAGGTTCAATTCTAGGGCAACAGTCCAAATGAGCAGTTCTCAGTTCTGTGAATTAGAAAATCAGCTAAGGGCCAGTACCGGTGGCTCACACCTGTAATCCTAGCTTCTCAGGAGGATGAGATCTGAGCTTCTCAAATCCCTCTGAAGATTAGGATTACTGTACCAGAATCTGAATTTGAACCACATCTGAAGATGAGGAGTTTTAAGCAATTGTCACAGGGAACAGAAACAAGCACTGAAAGTAGTACATCAACAAGTACAAAGCTTTGTGAAGTTCAGCATGTGTTCCAAAGTAAGTACTTGGCGTCTGGGTGCTGTCTCTGAGCTTCTTTTGCTCAAGGCTATTAGTGCTCTACCACTTGAGCCACAGCTATACTTCTGGCTTTTTGGTGATTAACTGGAAGTAAGAGTCTCATGAACTTTTCTGCCCAGGCTGGCTTCAAACGACAATCCTCAAAACTCAGCCTCCTAAGTAGCTAGGAGTATAAATGTGAGCCACTTGTACCTGGCTAAGGCTTTTTATATAAGTTAAAGCCACATGTGTGCAACCCAAGCACAGACCAGACAGGAAGAGAGTACAGGCAGGTACAGCAAACCAATATGAATTCCTACTTGCTACATCCCTGCAGTATGTCAGAGGCTCACTGAATGTCTTGCATGTATTAATGAATCTCTGATGATAAACTACCTAGTAAGTAAAAATAGCCTGCATTCTACTATGCCATATGTCAAGATGCCATTTTAGAAAAAAGCAGTTAATTTCTTTTCATCTAATAAACTAATACAAGAAATTAGGATGGTATTGGATGTCTCAAAAATTTAATTTTTATCCAAACACCACACTGCTTCCCCAAATTAGGGAGAACATGCTCTCAAGTGTGTGGTTAGAAGGTTTTGTGTTCTTCTTAAAGTCAAGAATCTGTTATAGTTCATCCAACTTTTCAACTACATACCAGGCACCAAATAGCTAGCAAGCAATCAGAGTCCATTAGATCTGCAATTCCATCTTCAGAGTATATTACTAATATCTTTGTGGAAGATATTAAACCACTAGTATTTTCACATCACAAAATAGATAAAGTAGATGCTTGAGAAAACTATGATCATCAAAGACTGAAAATGACAAGAGCAGGAGGGAAAAATGGGGTGAGAGCAAAGTCTTAGTTTTTGCAGAAAAAGTTTCCTACTTTATCTCTTTTGGACATACCTTTCTCACGTCTGAACTCTTTGGTTCTGTTGTCCATGTTATGATTCTAGAAACAGCAAGTCTTGTCTCACTTGAGTTTACAAAATCTGTTGGATCCATCTGTCTAGCCAGAGATTCAATGTATTTCAGAATTGCAACTTTGACCTAAAAGATCCAATGATTATAAATGTTAAGTATGCTTTGTTAATATGGGAAAAGAACATTTAGCTGGTAGTCAGAGAAAAGTGGACACCATTCAGGGGAAGCCTTCCCTCTGAACTTGTTTATGTTACATGAAGTGACATATTCTTCGTCCATGTTGAAAGACACTTACAGTTAACTCTGCCATTGACCAGGAGGGCAAGTTCATGTCTGCAGTAAGTCTGTTATATATTCTAGCCAGGTCCTGTGAGGCAGCATTTCATCTCATGTTCTGCCCCAACTTAATCCCTAACAACTTCATATGTTCATATTCATATATATACACATATATATAGGTATTTATATGTATTGTTTTAAGATGGTACTAGGGTCTACCAGGCAGATGCTCTTCCATGGACTGAGCCATACCTCTAGGTCTACTGGCTTCAGGAACAAAGGGCTTGTATTTTTTAGACCTAGAACCTCAACGTAAGTTGATGATCAAAGAAAGACCATGAACCTGATCACAAAAATCCAATCTTGAGATTTTCCACATCTGAGAGAATGTTAATATTAAAGAGACATTTAGTAAGATATCAATCTTAGCACAGAGTATAGAGTATCTTCATTGTTTTTGTTTGATTACTGACTATAATGTCCAATATAGATGAGGATGTGGAGTAACTAGAACTCTCATATTGCTGGTAATAATTATAATATGGCACAACCATTTTTAGTTTCTAAAATGTTAAACCTATGTCTACCAATGAGCCAGCAACTCCTCTACAAGGTACTGAATAGAAGAAATGGACATGTGTCCACAAAGAGTATAACAGGAATGCTCATAGCAGATTCATCCATGAGAGCTCAAGATAAGCAATTTGAAGTTGAAGCAACTTGGAGTTACAGAGCTTGAATTATAATGACAAATACTGACCTTGAGGTTTGGAGTTTGAGTTTGATCCACAATAAATCTCATCAAAATGTTAAATTGTTGATCAAATGGAAAGGAGTCCCTAGGTTAAAAAAAAAGCACTTTTAAAAGAAATTTATACAAAATTATAACATGATATTGCAGATTAATATACATAAAGTTTATATTTCTTGAAACACCAGTTTTCATTTTATACAAACACTAAATTGGTAATGTTTATTTAAAAAATTTAGAAAATGGAAACTCCCAAGCACGTATTAAATTACTCTGCAACGCTATTGTAGAAATCAAGACTACGCAGTGAACTTAAGGAACACAGATATTCTGTCTGCCCTTCTGGGAACGTGCCTCATCCCTCTAGCTTCCTTTCTAAATACTGCTTATACCCACATGCTTCTGATTCTCAGATTTATTTTTAGATCCTAACTAGGCTGCTACAACTGACCCTGCTTAAGCAAATTGTGTGTCCTCCTTGTCCTGATAACTCTTTTGTATAGTCACCACATTGGAAAGCCTATGCAATGATCAGTTTCAGAAAAGTCCCAATTCAGTGACAACTCATACACATAAGCCCAGGGCCCTAAGAGTCCCTCCTACCCCCATGCCAGTACTGGAGATTGAACTCAAGACCTAAGTACTGTTCCTGGCCATTTCACTCAAAGCTAGCACTTTACCACTTGAACCATGGCTCTACTTGTGATTTTTGGGTGGGAGTGAGGGGCAGAGAGAAGGCCAGCTATAAGTTACATAGGCTTTCCTTGTCTGGGCTGGCTTAAAATCATGGTCCTCAAATCTCAGTCTCCTGAGTAGCTAGGATTACAGTTGTGCTTGAGTGCTATCAGTGCCTGAGCCACTTCCTTCTATAACTGATTCCATTTATTGTAGTCACTGTTAATGTTTGAGCCATCAGTGACCCAGAGGAGTTCCTGATTAGAGAAAGTCAGTGCTCTCTCCCTTAAATGTGAAAAATGTGCGACTAGTTTAAGATTCCACAATGGAACTCCATATGGATAAAGGTGATGGAATTTCTCCATTAACAGGAAAGATAATGTAGCACAAGAATCTAAAACAACAGACACCAGGTAATCACACTGCTTTCTTTAAAATGTCTCAGAGGCTTTTGCTAATTGACAGAGTATGACAAAATGAATGAGTATCATGAGGATGTATTTGTATCTATGAAATGAAGCAAATGATACCTATTGTCACATAATCGGTGTGGAAATCAAAAGAAACAGTACAAGAAAACTCGGAAGCTTTATAAAGTGGCATATATTAGGTACCAGTGTTACTACCATAATTACTAATAAAAAATTAACCAAGGTGGTATAACTCAGTGGTAGAACAACTGCCTAGCATGCTTAACGCCCTATGTTAAGCCCTCAGCACCTTGCACCCAGGTGAACCTGACACAACAACACCCTTTTCTCTCACACCTACACCTTGGAAGTTTCGAGGACGACTTCTGGAAATTAAGTATAGTTTAGTATCATGATTTAAGTGACTTGGTCAACACACTTCACAAGAATCTCACTGCTTTTGCAGTGAGGGATGGATGGGGAAGACATCCCAGCATCTGCTGGGTTTTGCCAGGAAATGGGTCCAGTTGTCAACCACAAGCAGAGATAAGGAAACAGACTAGCACCTAGGTCTAGAACCTGTGGCGGAGCAACTTGGCCATCATTGATAAACTTAAACAGTTATCTATCTCAGTTGCTGGTAGAAAGACAGGAATAAGAAAATATCTTAGGAACTCAGACAAAATCTATTGAGGTAAAGGTTCTTTTTTAAAGGACTATTTTTATTAGCTTGTATTGTTTTACAATGGGGTAGTTTCACTGTGATATTTCCATACATACATACAGTGTCTCCTGATCAAGCTTACCGCTCTACTTCTCTTTTTTTTTTACCATGCTCATCCCCATTTATTCCCTCTGTTCTGCTCAGAGGATAGGATTCTTTTTTTTTTTTTTTTTTGGGTCCAGTCATGGGACCTGAATTCTGGGCCTGGGCGCTGTCCCTCAGCTCTTCAGCTCAAAGCTAGCGCTCTACCACTTGAGCCACAGCACCACTTCCAACTTTTTTCTTTTTGCTTATGTGGTGCTAAGGAATCGAACCCAGGGCCTCAGGCATACAAGGAAAGCGCTCTACCACTGAGCCACCTTCCCAGCCCTGGAGAGGATAGGATTCTTGAAGGAAAGAGTAACCAGAAAACCAAATAGGAGGACAGAGCTGTATTTCCTTCTTCCTTTTGTGATAAAACCCAGGACTTTGTGTATGCTAGGCGAGTGAAGCATTACTACACTACATCTTCAAATTCAATCGCAGAAGTATAGTCCTTAACCACCCAAATCTAGAAGCATAATCTGAAAATTTCCCTCCATTCCTAAAATAAAAAAGGGACAGTGTAATTGATAAACTCATGTTAGTTAAGGCAACTTTGGGCCAAGTCTGGCTCATGTGTTTTATTTAGTCCCTTTATAACATAATAAAAAATATCTCCAAATGTGTTGTTCAAATTTGTAATTCAGACTGTTTTTTTGAAAAGTCTAGTACTAATAGGTCCACATCCCAACATGGCCACAATTGGTCACAGATCAGTAACATTTCCTTGTATATGCTATTACTTATTTATGTCAGCTTTATCAGTCTGGCCTCCAATTAAATCCATTGTTCGCTGGTGGTCAGAAATATTCCCCAATTGGTAAGCTCAGTTATCCAGAAAGGATAGCTTGAAAGCCTTGTTACAAATGTAATATGTTACTTTGAATTCTTTGATGATCTGAAGAATAGTCTTTTATAGCTGTGCAAATTATATACGTTGAAAGGGTCAGAGACAAAAGAAAACCACTGGTATCAGAAAGCTGAGGATCGAATATGTACATGGTATTCAGAGGAAGGCATGCAGTGGCCACTCACACAGAGGTGATGACAAGGCAGCTAAGTGAAGGTGCTAGCACCACCCACCCTGTCTGTGCACAGGAGAGAAGGACACGGCCTACCTAGCAACCTAGAATCACAGAGCAATGATAAAAAATGATAAAAGAGCAATGATAACAGCAGGATTTTATTTCCCAGACTGCTAGTAACACCCATGTAACCCTGGGCAAATCAAGGCAGTATCTGCTTTTCACTGATAAAAATGAGTTTTGCTGAGTACTTGGTGGCTTGGACTATAACATTAACTACTCAAGAGACTGAGATATGACAATCACAGTTCAAAGCCAGCCTGGTCAGGAATATATGTGAGACTTTTATTTTCAATTAACCACCAACAACCTGTTAATGGATCTGTGGCTCAAGTGGTAGAACGCCAGCTCTGATAAGAAAAGCTAAGGGACAGCATGTAGGCCCTAAGTTTATGCTTCAGTACTGGTCCTCTTGCCAAAAATAACCTCCACCTTTGAGTCTCTTCACTATGAAAACTTCTGTGATACCTAGTATTATTCCAGTTTATAATCTTTGGGTCTTACAAAAGTTACTGCCTTGATAATTTTCAGACTGAGAGCCATGTGTTTATTCCTTGAAAAGATGTATTAATCTAATATATTCCCCTCTATCTTATACTCAATCACATTTAAGATAGCACTACAAGGTGTCTATGCAGGCTGAGGGGCTATGACTTCATAACAAAGGAGAGGTTTCTGAGAAACAGCACATGGTTCTTAAAACTTCTCTAAGCCTCAGTGACTTTTCTTCTTTTGTAACAGCCAGAAAGTTACAATTGCTTTGATGTGTAATTCATTTGTGAGCCAAGGAATAGTCAATTTTGAGACAAGTTTCTGGACCTACAGAATCTCTATTACGCATCATGAACTGCCAGTGTGACTTAAGAGAAACTCAAGTATTAAAAATACTCAGAACTTCATAAAGATGTAAACAAATGTTCTCACTGTTCTCTTTACATGTTTTACAGAGGGAAGAGAATTAATTTTCAAAATGTTACATTTATCTTATAATATTCACTCAAACACACAGGTATTTCATCTCCTAAATTGGTGGGACACATCAACAAGAGGACATGGAAAGCGAGCGGCAAAGAAGAGATGTGAGTGGTGGCAGAGACCATGAATAACAGAAGATAATCCCAAGAAAGTCCAGTCTTGGTATTGCAAAATGACTGAGCCCCCAAGTCATACCTTGTGACATCCAAAGCCTTCTGAACTTTTGCCTGCACGGATCCCAGTAAATCTGCTCCCATTTTCTTAAGCAGTTGTGTGAGAAGAACAAAAAGCCAGTCTTGCAAGTCATCCTTATGAATTATTATAAAATCCACAAGAGTCTCCAAAAACATACTAAAAACCTGGATTAAAAAAAAGTTTCACATATTTAACCTACAACTCCTCCCCAAGCCTAGAAAATATTAAAAATGCCCATGCTGGTGTTGCCCAGATTCTCACTGATTAGGTAATATTGCTAACCATGGCTCACACATTGCAGAAAAAACAGCTCACATATCAGAAAGGCAAATAATTCACTGCAGAAAACAGATAAAGGAAAAAGAGTGACACTTACTCTCTGTCGTGAATTCCACCGCAAACCAGGCCATGCAACAAAACAAATTCCATGTTAGTCTGAAATGAATTAATACCATTTTCATGCAGTTTCTTTAAAAATCCTGAAAAAGCTACAAACTGATAAAAATAAGTTTTCTCCTCCCTCAATATAAACTGTAAGTCAGTATGGAGAGAAATTATCTTTTCTGAGTTTAATCTTGGAGGTTTTACTTGAAAGAGAGGGACATACGGAAGGAGAGAGAGAGAAAGAGAAAGAGAAAGAAAGAGAAAAAGAGAAAGAGAGAGACAGACAGAGACAGAGAGAGAGCGACAGACACACACTCCTAATTGTCCTTAATATATACTATTCTTGCTCATTACCTAGCATTTAACAAATACTATTAAAGGATGAAAATGTACTATTGTGTAGCTGATGCTGTTCATTTTTGACAGCTATTCTGGTGTATGTCAATTTCAAAAATTATAAGGAGCTGGATGCCTACAATCCTAGCTACTCAGAAGACTTGGATCTCAAAATCTTGGTTCAAAGCCAACCTAAGCAGATAAATTTGAGAGATTCTTATCTCTAATTAACTAGAAAAAAACAGCAAGAACTGAAGGCATGGCTCAAGTGGTTAAAGCCATCAGTCATGAGTAAAAAAAGTCCCAGTAAGAGCTTGAAGCCCTGAATGCAAGCCCCAGTATCAGCATACACACAAGACACAAATTTTTAGGAAAGAGACTGACAATTCACATAATACTTGTGTTGCTGTATAATCATTACTGCTTCCAAAGATGAAATATTCCACAGCAGAGTATGTCAGGAACTCTCAGGGAGTTAACTGTGTTCCCCTATCTTGTTAATGAGGCTTGTTGTAATAGGACAACCCCTCCCCCAACACCTCTTCAGCTCTGGCACAGCAATTGTTCACCACTAGGGGTCTCCAGTGAGGCAGCTCAGGAGAAAAGTCAATAAACTCTGGTTGGGTTATTTATTCCTGGCTTAGATCATGGGTAACTAGCACATATTAACTAAACTGAGCCCTCCAAACTCACTGGACAAGAGCCTTCTGATGGAAACAAATTTCCTTCTTTATCCTCACATTCTGCTTCTGAATCAGCAATCTAGAGGTAATAGGTAACAGAAATTTCATCAATGTTTCAAAACCATCTAATAACCCTTATGGTATAACTCTTAGTAATTGTATTATGCTTTAAATTGTATTACTTTTAGCATTACCATGGAGAAAAAATCTTGATGATTATAATTTTGTGTATCTATGAGGCTTTTAGCTCAGTCTCTTTGGGGGTTTTTATAAATATTAATGCTATCCTTTCTAGGAGGGGCTTATTAAGAATTTTATGACATGCCAAATGAGTGTTGAGGGGGTGTTAGGGTTGAAGCATCTTGCCTTCATTCCCCCTGCACTTCTACAAATATATCAGAAGGCAGAGACTTTTTTTATGCATGATTGACATGAGGAAGGAAGAATGGATAAATGAAAAGATGGAAAGAAGGTTGGCTGAATGGTAGATAAATGTTTGATACTTCAAGGACAACTCCAATGAGGAAGCAAGGGTAAGGAAAAAAAGGGTAATAATAACTTAGCCAGAGTCTGGCCATCAGATTTCTTATCTAATAGTAAGACTTAGACCACCCTTACTAGAAAAACTTTAGTTTAATATAATCAGTCATGTCGGCATTTAAGATTTGCTTCTGCTGATTTAAGATTCTATCCATTCCCACATTTTTATTTCTATCTTTGTTTTCATCTCTCTGATTTCTTCCTCTAAACACATCTAACAGCCTTGAAAGGCTTCCCAAGTCCCAGAAACTTTTGTAAAAAATTCCTCTCTCAGCACTGTCCCTAGGGAGGTCCTTGTCCCATACTTATCAGTGTTTCCTCCTCAAGCAGGAGCTCTACCAAAAAAGCAGTGCTCAGGCTCAGTGTTACCCCATGTCCCCAGGAGAAGGGACACTGATTATTAAGTGAGTACCATCTAGCAAGTTCTCGAGAACAGCAAAATTCTATTTGGAGAAATAACCTAGTTTTTCAATAAACCTATCATATACATTCAATTTTTCTATCTTGCCTGTGAGAACAAGTTTATGTGGGATAAAAAATGTATTTTCTTCACTGCTATAATTTTAAAAATGTATATATAATACAACCTTACATTCTAGCACCTTGTCATGTTTTGGCCAAAAAAGGCACCAAGAAGTGTTTGCTGAGTGATTCTCACCATGCTAACTTTCGATACTTAAATAAGTCAATAAGTCTATAAGTATAAGCCTTACTTATAGTTACTATAAGCCTTTCAGTTTTTGAAAGATGTTAAACACACTAGTGCACTGTGGGAATTTGTTCTCATTCTTGGGCAGTATATCACACATGTCACACTGGAATGCAGAAGAGAATATGAGTAAGGCATGATTACAGACTTACCTTGCTATGGGGGTCAGCAAACATTCGGGTGAAAATCTCACATAATCTCTTCAACTCTACTCGACTAGAAGCAATATATGGAAATTAATAATTTTAAAATTTAGTAAGTCACCACTGCAACTAGTTACAGCTTTGCTTTCTAATAATCCTTTCATTTCAGTCAACTACATAAACTTTACCAAATTTATTTATTTTTTTCCAAGTTTGTATTTATGTAAAAACTAATCATCATATTTGATTCACTGTAAAGAATATGAAATCATAGATTTGCTCTCATTTTATGAGGACACTGAGCTTCAGACAACAACTTGCTCAGCTACAATTGACAAGGCATTAGCCAAAACCTTTTTACCCCAGGTCTGTTCTCTAGCTACAGCAATGAAAGGCAATGGATAAACCAGAAGACATATGTGTTTCAGGTCAGAAGACCAGGACTCTTCATCCTAAAGAAACATACAGTGCCATCTTTAAGATTCCTTGTAGATAAAGACAGTTGGTTCAATGAGCCTCCAGTAATGCTAACTGAGGTTTAGATGAGACCAATGAGGAGACCCGTAGATTTCTAGAGCCCAACCAATGGGTACTCAAAGTTGGGACCAGCAGCACTGAAATAGATTCTTGAAAAACAATCCTAACAAATTATCCTTGTTTTGTTTCTGAGAGGTCACTAAAAAGTCACTAGAGTGTCATATGATGCTTATATATCAGAAGGTGTATGGCAGATCCTCTGATACCACCTTCATGGCAGGAGTGAAATAATATAGGGAAATGGGGTAGAGTAGAACTGAAGAGGCACACTTGGAACACAGCCAATTTATTTGCCAGTGCTCACCTAGTCACACAGAAGAGAGACTTGCATCCACAGCCATAACTCTTAACTGATCTGTAAAATGATGTCTAAAGGACATGATACAGTATATTCATAGACTCTGTAATGCTCACTTCTCAATTCCCACACACAATTTTATTTATGTTTTAACATCACTGTAATTGAGATTCCTCTTATAACCAAAGATATATTCATGGTCATGTTTAAATAAACAGAGTTTCTTCTTTCTCCAGAGAGATATAAAGTAATAGTTATTGGCTTAGATCTGATGAGATTTGGCATAAACACAGTACATTTTTGATACATGTAATATGTGTTTATTTTAGAAAATATATGAAAAACAGAAACAAAGAAAAAAGAAAGGCGAATTCTAAAGATAATGTTACTATTTAAAAATATTTTTAAAATATTTAAAAAATATTTGTTTACTCTGTAATTTATAAGTGGCATACATCCTTTATGTGCACTGAAAGTTTTTAGATTAAGACTTGTATCTTTTTTTTTGTGCCGGACCTAGGGCTTGAACTCAGGGTGTGGGCACTGTCTCTGAGCTTTTCTGCTCAAGGCTACATACAGCCACTTGTGGCTTTTTGTTTGTTTGTTGTTTTTGGTCATTAATTGGAGATACGTGTCCCATAGACTTTCCTGCCCCTACAGGCTTCAAACTGTGATCCTCAGATCTCAGCTTCCTGAGTAACTAGGATTACAGGCATGTGCCCAGTAGTACCAGGTAAAACTTGTACCATTTTATCCCAAACCTTGAAGAAGAATCACCATATTAACTTGAAGCATTGTTTTATTCTTTATTTGAATTGCAAATGGTAACAAGACTCCTCAAATAGCATCTAATGGACAAATGGACACTGTAATTGAACCAAATGTTCTACGCACCTAACAAATCCTATAATATCTGCCAGATATTCAGAAGTGTCTGAAAAGAAAAGACTGTCTGTTTCTTAAGTCATTAGCACCTTCGATGCTGGCAAGGACTCCATAAAATGACTGTGAATCTCTTTAAAGCCTTGACAAATAAATTAGGACACTGAAAAGTGGCTCTCAACCTTGACCTTTTATCCTTACCTCAGTGTTCTTTGGCTCTTGAGTAAGTTCTGCAGGCCAAGAAGCCCTTCTTTCCTTTCTGACCAGTTTGAACTAGCACAGTGGTTGAGAACTTCTGCTACATCTTCAGTCTGTCGCAGATAATGGGGAATGCCACCATTCCTTGAGCCGTATGAACGCTCAGAGCAAACACTTGAGGCGTCGCTATTGGCGTCGTCATCAGAATACATTCCATATGGCTCATATCTCCTCCTCACAGGCTTCTTCTGAGAGATCCAAGGAGGAATGGAGGAGAATGAGGAGGAAATGGAAAGGTAAAATGGTCATGAGTCATATCAAACAGAAACAATGAAGAATTAAGTGTAAAAAGAGATACAAAACACATATTTGTGCTTACAGGTTGGGGAAATAAAAACAGAAAAGTTTTCTAGTGGACAAGTGCCAAGGATGGCATTCCTTGGCAGACGGAAGTGTGACCTCTCACAGGGAATCCAGTGTGCAGGGGCTTTTCAGTAACATGGATTTGATTTCTAATTCTGCTGTCACTGCTGACTTGCTATGTGAATTCACAAAAACTTTCAAACCTTTCTAACTCAATTTCTTCCTTCTGAAGAAAGAGAACACTAGCCTACAGCCTGTTTTAGGGTTAAGGGTGATTCAATGTAGAAGAATTCAACTGCTGACACACTGCAGGGTATATGTACTCCAAGCCCCATTGCAGTCCAGCAGAGTCTACCTTGAATCTATGGGTGAGTATTATTTTTTCAAGCAATTCTGAAATTGAAATGTCACTGGCAGAAATAACCCTATGTTAAAAGGTTTCTTTTTGCTTTGTTTTTTGAGACAAAGTTCTTACTATGTAATCCAGACTGATCTCAAATTCACAATCTTCCTGCCTTAGTCTCCTGAATGCTGGGATTATAGGCACATACCAGCATGCCTGACTCTCAAGAATTCTTAAATAGTATGAGTTACTTTCATTAAGGACTTTATTTACTTTTATACACAATAGGCATCTTTTAAAGTAGACTGTATAATCCTCACCCCTGATTATTCATCTCTTACTCTGAATACAAAACTAAATGACATAGTAACAGCTTTGTGAAATCAGTAATACACAGATTTTCCTAAAAGCAAAACTAGATGGTTCAAACCACACAAATGCAATTGTCTAGTAAAGGTAGTTACTAAGAATGCCAACTTGCTCAGGATTGTTCTGCCTACTGTCCCAGTATAATTTATAGCACCCTCTTTTACTCTCTATTTTTGTTTGGATGACAAATTATATGACTATCCCATTCATATGTAAAGTAGGCAAATCCATTTATGAAGTAATGACAACATAATAATAGGCACAGAACTGAATTTTAAAAAAATGAGACACTAATGGGAGAAGAGTAAAGTTTGACATTCCAGTGAATACTACCAACAAACATATGTGAACGGTGACAGATTCCATCACTAGGAAAGACATCACAGGTTCAACAATATCATAATTCAGACCAGAATTTCTAAATTCTACTATATTTTGTACTGATTTCACTAACTTCTAAAAGAAATAATACTCTCAACAGAAAAAAATAAAGTTGAAAACAAAAGTTAAAGCACTGGTACCTTGCTCCTGGTGTCTCCTAACAGCTGTAGGCAGGAAAATATTGAAGGATGGGGAAAAAGCATAGAGAATTATGTCAGAAGCATATGTGGGGATTGTTCTGGCAACAAAAGTGTACAGCAAAACATCTCTTAGCAAACCAAAAACACAGGTCAGCAAGCGTTTAATATTGAGCAGATAATAATACAGACTGCTTTCAAAATGGCATTTCTTATAGTCCTCCTATGCAATTTCCCAAACCCTTTGACATTTGCTATAATTCTTGCTGGAACTCTTCCCATACCCAGGAGGACCACTGCTAAGTTGCTGTTAATATACCTATCCCTATGAAATGTCTCTCTGCCCTGAGCTTCCCTCCTGTAGGAAAGAATTCTGTACCATTCCTGCATTTTCCTCTTCAGAGGCAGGTCACTTGGAGAGACCAAACAGGGTAGATAAAAAAGTAACAAGGGCAGCACCAACATAAAGGGAGCTGGGGATTCAGAGAAAAGCTCCAGTCAAGTAAGACAAAGCTCAAACTCTCCAGCTCTATCCTGCCTCCTAGAACTTTGTAAACAGTCCCTTATGCAAGGCTTTATCTGCCTTAACTGGAGATCCTATTTAGCTGACGCTTCCAAATTCCATTGTTTCTAGACCCTCTGACCTCCTTCCTAGAATCTCTGAATAAATCAAAGATAGATTCAGAGTGCTGCATTGGGAAGGAGAAGGGTGTCACAGAATTCAGTTCCAGCTCTTGACTCTGAAGTTAAAGCCATGGTTAAGTAATTGCTCTGCACTCTAGTACCTGCCAAAAAACAGTCCTCCTACATCTAAGGCTGATGAATAGAGCTGTCCAGGCAGTTTGCCTACTGGGATAGCATTCTGAGAGCAGCAGACACTTGTCAAAGAAATCTGACTGAGCAAAAACAAATGAGGAGAAAAGACAGGAAGAGATGAGAGCTGGGATCACTGTGGCTATAGACTGTAAAGTCTTGATGGAACATGGCTGGACTTAAATTTTCAGGGCTTAAAAGCAGGCATTGTGTGTTTTTTCTCACATAAGAATAAATCTTAAAAAAATAAAGGTAAAGCTGAAACATTTCTGAAGAACATCTATTTCAAATGCTGAGCATGTGAATAGGCAAGATGCTATTATCACCAGCTGAGGAGCCTTACAGAGTAATTTGATTGCAATTTAGTCCTACCAAGGAAGTTTTGCTAGAGCTACCATTTAAAAGTGCTCTGATCCCTTTAGCCATTAGCTATTACATTATGATACAAAACCACATTCTACCAATGCTTCACCATCCTCAGATGAATAAAGGTTAAAATTTAGGAAATATTTTAAATATTGATTGACTTCAGTTTTAAAAACAAATAAGTAAATAAAAACATGAAAAATAATCGAATAATATGGACCCACCCACAAGTGAGATAATGGGACAGATGTAAGATTTTCAAACCTCAAGCTCTATAACCTACTTTTATAGTCATGTGTTTAAGCTATGCCATCAAAGTCTGTACAGCAAGAGGAGCAACAGGATGGAAAACAGGAAATGCAGGGGCCGAGGCGGGGGGGGGGGGGCAGGGAACCATTGTGAAAAAGAAAAAGAAGAAAAAGCCAATGACATCTAAGAAGTCCAATGACATCTGGATACTGAAGAGCATAGATCAGAATATTTGACACTAATATTTTCTAGAAGGCCAATTTTCCTTGTGTGTGTGCACAGGTCAAACGCTGAGAACATAACAGTAAAACAAACTTGTTCAATATTTACACCATTTTATGGAGTGTCAAAGATGATCTAGCCAACTGACTTGGGAGCAAAGTCCTGCTAAGACAGAGAAAAACATGGATGAATCATTCAAAGAGATTCGGCACAAATGGTGACTCTTACCAAAGCATCAGCAACAGCAGCTTCCAGATCTGTACTTGTGCTCAAAACCCGCATGGCATTCACAGACCCAGGTATTCTTCCTGGCTGACCCAGCCCAAACCGGTCTATTGGAAAAGAAAAGAAAAGCAAGTGTCACTTTGATTCACATTTTTTTTCCTCAGTTCTTTGCAAGGGCTCCTGCCTCTTCCCACCAAAGTAGAGAGAGGCACGGAAAAATCTCTAGCCATTTTTAACTGTACTGCTCTTGCTTGCTCATCGTAGAAGTTAAGGTGCTCACATTTAATTCTATGGAGTCACAAAGCATTCTTTTAGTGGGAACCTGTCCTATAACATACTATTATTGAAAAGTTTTGGACACAAGAGAGGGGAATTTATTACAAAATAGAGATGAGAGATGAGCTTTGAGTTGAATTTTTTAATCTATTTGTTTTCCCTCTAGAGGCAGGGGGGTGGCCTTGATGTTTTTTCAATAATAAACCAGTTTCATGGTTTGATAAATGAGTTCTAATGCAATGTGAAACAAAAAAAATTAGAAACAAATAATGTTAAGTTGATCTCTGATGCTATTTTACTGATACAATTGTTTTAACAGTTTTTTGGTTAACTTCAGTTACTTGGGGGTACTTGTTCATCCTGATGCCTATGTCACTGGAGATAAATTGAAAAATCAGTGTACTAAAATTCTTTAAAAATCACCACAAAAAATTTAGTACTTGTTCTGCAGAAAGTTAATCATCCAGAGATTATCAGTATAAATTTTACCTGAGTCCCTTGGAGGACTTTTGTCTTTATACAGATCGACAGAATAAAAAGAATCAAAGGATTTAGAATCTAAAGGATTTAGGCCAAATTTTAGCAGTTCTAACAATGACTTAAGATTGTTAGTGAACATGGTAAATGAAAACTCCCTTTTGAAAGTATCATTTTAAGACAGCTGACTAGCCTTCCTTAAGAAGTGCTAGAGATTAAAATCCTAGAGGTAGGAAGTTAGCACAAGTAAGAGTTCACAGGAGTATTTACGATCGATAGAGAAAAAGTTGGTTAATCAATGCTTGAATGTGTAATAACCTTTGGAAGGAAAGTTTTAACATAAAAATGTTTTCCTGGTGTTAACAAATAAGATACTATTTACACAAGGAAAACTTGTATTGGCCACATTCTATTAATGAAGCATTTAGAATAAGAGGGAAGCTAGTATCCATTTTATTGAAACTGTCCTATAAAATGGTCTATTTAAACTTTGGATAGGTAATAAGATATCACTTAGAAAATCAGTAAACTTTAAAAGTGAAGTATTACATTTTTTTAAGGGTCAAGGCTGGGACTTGAATTCGTTCATTGGCTAGTACTCTACCAACTGAGCCAAGCATGCTTCCAACCCCTTACTTAGCTTTTTAAAAATATCAATTCCAAAGCATCATATTTTTCCACCATCAAACAAAGGAGAAATAATTTAAACACTGCTAATCAACAGTTCAAGGGTCACAAGTTTTTATACAGAAACAAGAACTGTATGTTAGACTATCCCCTTTTTTAATGCATTTCTGCTCATTCTAAATGTCATCTTGATACATCACATTACAAAGGTGATTTAATGTGCTTTATAAATTAAACAGGACCACAAAACAATTATACTTATGTATTTATCTACAAATACTTTATTAGTTAAAATATGAAGCAAATATAAATTTGAGATTACACAGTTTTATAGATTATCTTGTTCATCTTTTTTTCCATTAAAAAAGGGTAGATAGCAGGGGATTCATGAATAACAGAATGAAAATAATTCAGTTATAAGCCATTTATAAGGTATCCAGCATAAATGTAAATAAAAGTCTAAAAAGAAAAAGAAAAGTAGATCTCATGCCAGCAATTCTTGTTCCAGGGATAAAACTGTTTTTTCCAGATACCAATTAAAACTTTTAAGAACAATGCAAATTGTTTTGTGCCTTCTAGATATATACCACTTTGCAATACACCATAATCAGCTAATGTATAACACAGACAATCTTAAAGAGAGATCATTTGTCTGGATCTAAGCAAAATAATAAACTTTTGGTTTTCACCTAACCAAAATCTACTCTACATTCTCATTGTTCTGTTACTATTATGAATCTCAGGTTTCTAAGAGATATATATAGAAAGATGTGCCCTCGTTCTAGCCACTGATCTTCAGGGCAATGCATTTAATGAGAGCACATACAGTAATAATTGGCTTCATTTAAAAAAAAACAAAAAATAATAACTGATGGCATGTCACCATCAAGTCTGTGAATTAAAAAAGCATGCCTCACTTGATTGAGGACAATAGCATACAGAAATGATGGCATTACATGTAGCATTTAAATATGCCAATAAATGTTTTTGCCTCTGTGGCTAGTCAGTGGACTTTTGTGGCTGACTCAGAAGGTTTGGGGTCTTAACCTTTTGACCTGACTTGATTATCTGAATCTTGATCTTGTTTTCCATAAAACTTTTAGGATGATACATTTATTTTCAGACATAGGAAATTACACATACTATAATCTGAAACGCAAGTAACTAACTGTACCTAAAAATAATAAGAACCTGACACTAATAACTAACATTTCAAAGCATGACGGGAGTGAAGATTTCGGAGACAACTGACTCTGGGGGATGTTATCCATACCCCCATTTTCCCATCAGGAGGTTGTGTGACACTTATTTTGGTGGCTGCTCCCGGGGGACAGTGGAAAGAGGGGAAGAAATATTTTCCCTGGTTTTCATTTTGACGGACATACAAGCACTGGAGAAATGATGTTGTCAAACATGTGATAAAGCATCTATGCCTATTAACAGAACTATAAACATTCAACAACTTAAAGAAAAAAAAACAACAAAAGCACACTGGGGAGAACAAACATGAAGTGTACACATGCCAAGCGCTAGCCGACACAAATGGAAATAAATGCTGACATGGGTGGAGGAGAATGGATGAAGAAGTGATCATGCAGTTAGCACTTGTTCACCTGACTGCCCAACAGATTCAGCAGTGGAGAGAGCACTAGTGGACCTGGAATGACGTCGAGAGGCTGCAGGTAAAAGGAACGGCAACACCCACAGGATTAACACACAAGTACCAAACAAAATGCAGGGTTGCTACCAACAAGGAAGGCGGTGCTTCTCATGGCAGAAATGGTGCTGGATATGAATGGACAGCAGTGCCGACCCCCACGTTCAACAGGAGCCTCTGGCTTCACACAGCTCTTAGACACACAGGCACAACAGAGGCACTCTGTGGTGCTTCATACTAAGGATGCATTGATCCACTCAGACTCCAAGTTTAGATTCACACCATGAAGCCTCTATCAGCCATTATGGAAATATGCCACATGAAGAACATCAGGAGTCAGAGCACCGTCTAAACCCCAGAGGAGTCAGCAGGAAGATGGATTATTCATTCAGCTCACAAGATGTGTCATCAGTATGTGATGCATATGTCACCATGCACCAAAAACAAAAGCAGAGAGGTTCGGAATGTTATCTCAACAGAAACTGAATGAAAGCACAGGAAGAAGGCTCAACAACTGGAGTTCATTTTCCCAGTTAACATATTGGTTATTCTGTTGCATATTCTGTTGCATCAGTATCCTAATTATTAACAGACTTGGTGAACTGTTGCTATGGAAACAAAACTGGTGGGAAGGCTTAGTTTGCTCACAACTAACTACAGGGCCTTGGGCAATATACTCATAAAACCTCTCTGTACCTGCATTTCTGCATGGGTAAAATGGTGCTAATAATGGTACCTACCTCTCACTTGTTACTGAGAGGGTTAAAAGAGATCACACAGAAAGAGCACTTAAACCCATGCCAGGCAGAGTCAGCAGTGATAGGAACAGCTTTTGGTACTGGTGGTGGCCATAAAAGTTAAGAGTAAACTCCAACTTACACTTAGACACGAGGACATTAATTTATGAGCCAATATTTATATACATGGATGAATTCATTAACCTAAAGAAATCAAGGCTAAACTCTATCTTCATAAAGAAAGGGAATAAATTTTAGAAATACTGATGAAATCAAGAAACTGATGTACTAGTTCTATTTCCATACAATATGCAGGTTTTCATTATCTCAGGAAAACCACCAAGGATTTATGCTTCCAAATGTTGCAGCATGGAGATGTCAGAGGCTATTCCTTGGAAAATCCTTAGGTTTAACAAAGTCGTCTGAGGAGTGTGATCTTTCATCCAACTACTACTTTGTACATATTAACCCCCACATAATTTACTCATAAAACATCAAAACATCAGCTTATTTTTAAAGTTCACATCACTTGATAAAACAAACACCTGTTCAACACACAGTATTAAATAACAAAAGTTACCTGGTCAATAAGAAATTTTTATCTGCGTCCAAAATCTCATTTCTCAAGACACACAAAAACAAAAATAAATCAACCATCTCTAACATACTTACCATTTTTCCCAAGTAAGGAGGCTGGTATGGTATTTTGTTATCTCACTGGAGCAAACTATACATTTATTGTACTAACACATCCAGAATTACATCTTGTCAGTTTAAGCTGAAATAGTTTCTAAGCAATACCTGGTCTATAGGTTCCTTATAAAGTGTTCTTTTGGTTCTACTTCAACAGAATATTCTAGAGTAAATCTGTCTCATAATAAGTACTCCGTCCTATTCACAAGTAAACAAGTGGATCCACTTATGTCAAAGTCTGATTTATAGCAAGGTTCTAGAGCCCATAATTTTACTTAAGTATATGACTGTCACAATATAAAACCATCATATTACTACCACATATTAATATAGATTCACATAATTAAAATACTTTAAAACAATCACACAAATTTTACAACAATATATGCATTTGGTCTTCTATCCGCAGTTTCTGCTTCAGTGGATTTAATTGACTATAGACTGGGGGAGAAATGCATCTGAACATGCAAAGAACTTTTCTCTTGTTCTTTCCAAAACAACACAGTGTAACATTTATAGATTATGTATATTGTATTAGATGTTATAAGTAATCTAGAGATAAATTCAAGTACGCTGGAAAATGTGCCTAAGTTGTATGCAAACATTACACTATTTTGGTATCTGCAAGATATATTGGAAC